CATACACACACATACACATATACACACATATACACACATACACACATTCACACACATTCACACACATACACACACATACACACATACACACATACACACATACACAAACACACATACACACACAAACACTCACACAACCAACATAACAAAAAACGTGCTCTTGAACTGAACAATGTCATAAAAAAGTGGCAAATATCTTTGACATAATATGATACGCACTCCATCAAGTCATTACTGACAAGCAGAGCAGTATTGCTTGCAATACCTAAAAAAAAGAAAAAAAACCCAAACCCTAAACAAAAAAAGACAAAAAAAAAACAAGAACAAAAAAAAAATAAAAAAATAAAAATCCAAAGACAAAAACAAATAAACAAACAACAACAACAACAAAAACAAAAACAACAACAAACAAAAAAACCAAAAAAAACGGTAGCGTCGCTATAGCAGAGTGGGCACAGCAATCTCACCCATTCCTTTCCTTCCCAGATATCCTTCTCTTGGTTCCAATCTGAGTCAAATGGTGCAATCGATGTTCTAGGATATTATAATATGCAAGTCTATATTTGCACCCTACAAAGAGATATCGCTGCTTTCGAATTAAAAAGTTCTATCAGACATTTTTTGCCATTTTGAGTTACAAAGACCATTAGGTCAGAAACCAAAGGTTATTTCTGCTCTCTCAAAATCGTAAGTTTTTTCGGCGTCGCTATCGAGATATTCAAAGAACTGCAATAAAATTTTAAAAAAGAAGCTTGATAGGTTGTGAAACTCAACTTTTTTTTACATCTAATTTCTCAAAACTTTGCACTGAGCAGATTGAATTATGTAATTCTAGTGTTGCGCGGATATGAAGTAGTATTCAATTCACAAAAGACGTTCCTCCCCCTCCCCCCCCATTCCCAACTCACACCTCCCCTATTTTACCCTTCAATTGTTTCCAAATTGAGTTTACAGACGCGCTTCACAGTGGACATGAAATATGCCAGAGTTTAAAATCTAGGGCAATACATACAAGTCTGTGGTGTTTCCTCATCGCTTTGTCACGTAGGCTACGCATGTGACGGGTTTCGCGTTCAATAGCGCAGCAATCACAACCATTACAGTACGGTAAAAACCGCTCCTTTTACGACACAGCACCATTCCCACAACGGCCCCTTTTGTGACCCGTCAGCCA